TTACAACACACTGTGGGGGTTGTAACACAGTGTAGTGGGGGTTATAACACACTGTGGAGGTTGTAACACAGTGTAGTTTGGGTTATAACACATTGTGTGTGGGTTATAACACATTGTGTGGGGGTTATAACATATTGTGTGGGGGTTATAACACATTGTGTGTGGGTTATAACACATTGTGTGGGGGTTATAACACATTGTGTGTGGGTTATAACACATTGTGTGTGGGTTATAACACATTGTGTGTGGGTTATAACACATTGTGTGGGGGTTATAACATATTGTGTGGGGGTTATAACACATTGTGTGTGGGTTATAACACATTGTGTGTGGGTTATAACACATTGTGTGGGGGTTAGGATACATTGTGGGGGTCATAACTCTGGGGTTATGATACATTGTGGGTGTAATAACACACTGTGGGAGTTCAAATACATTAAAGGGTTATAATACATTGTTATGGGTTGTAATTCATTGTGGAAGTTTCAATACATTGTGGGGGGGGGGGGTTAATTAGGTCTATGCTCTTAAAATCGAAACTCAGTTTAAGTGATGCTAAGTTGTAGGTTGTTGTACGTGGTGTTGTACGTGGTGTTGTACATGGTGTTCAGTGTGAAGGGAGCGTCTGTGTTTGTAAAGATGAGGTTCTGTTGCTGAACTAATGTATATATGATGATGGAGTTGTCATCTGTGAGTCGGACAGTTGTTGGAGGATTTAAACTATGAGGTGAGGCTACCCTGTGAGCCTCCCTCTCTATGCTGAACTTCCTTTTCCTGCAGTTAGACTCCTTCCATGTAGTTAGGCTTCTTCCATACAGTTAGGCTCCTTCCATATAGGAAGACGTCTCACACATTAAGAAAACCCAACATGACTAATGGCTATCTTGAACCCTAAAACCCTAATGACTATCTTGTACTACAACCCTGAGATCAGGTTCAATAGGCCTCTTTTCTTTCTCCATATTTGTAACTATTATTTCTTGCAGAATACCAGCACGAGTTCATAGTGCCAATGGCCAGACACAACAAAACACTTGTTCAAATATTTGGAGATTTTCTCACATAAACATTGTCCGATTATTTAGTAATGTTTGCTGATACGACCACAATTAATTAAATATCCTGATAGTTTTGTCATGGTTTCAACATGGTTGTAAAGCCAGTGTTGAGGTTGAGATTGTAAAGCCAGTGTTGAGGGTGAGATTGTAAAGCCAGTGTTTCCTATACACTGCTAAAAAGGGGATATTATATAAGGAATATTTTCGTAAATGGCTTTACAAAACTATCACTTGTTTTCAAATTTAATCAATCCTCTATAATGGCAATGGAATATTTAGGTGGGAAATATCTCTCACGTGGAATGTGAATTGTGCATCTACGAATGGCGTTCGTTCGTGAGACATTAAATTTCAACTGTTCTTGAACTACTTCTTCCTCTTCTTTACTGTTTGTGCAGTTCATAAATTTACACTTACAAGTTGCTGCCGATTCCACGAGTTTTTCTTCCCCCTTATTCACACACACACACACACACACACACATACACACACTCACACACACATACACACACACACACACACACACACACACACACACACACACACACACACACACACACACACACACACACACACACACACACACACACACACATACACACACACACACACACATACACACACACACACACACACACACACACACACACACACACACACACACACACACACACACACACACATACACACACACACACACACACACACACACACACACACACACACACACACACACACACACACACACACACACACACACACACACACACACACACACACACACACACACACACACACACACACACACACACACACACACACACACACACACACACACACACACACACACACACACACACACACACACACACACACACACACACACACACACACACACACACACACACACACACACACCCACACACACACACACACACACACACACACACACACACACACACACACACACACACACACACACACACACACACACACACACACACACACACACACACACACACACACATTTATTCATTTATTCAAGCGATAAATATTCCTTTTGGAAACAATTCTTATAAAGAACAGTAGTATAAGAGAAAATATATCCATCTTCAATTTATTTATCAAAGCAATTCATTCTTAATATATATTAAAAAAGAAGGAAAACATTTAAAAATGATAAATACAACGTAAAAAGGACCAAATAACATATTTTGAGAAGACGAAATTTGATGCATGTTCAGTCGAGTTAAGGACTCTGAGTTGTCCAACTCTCATTTCATATAAACGAAATAGACTTCCCTGGAAACACAAACCGAAACTGTCTCTATTTTCCGCTTGTTACAACTTGTAATAAAGTTGTTACATCTTGGCTTAACGTGTTTATGACGTATTGGAACGTTGTTACAACTTGCTATATTGGTTGTTATAACTGGTTAGGAGGTGTTAAAACTTGTTCGAACGTTGTGCCAACGTCGTAGTTTCGGTGTGTGTTTGGTGGGTCCAAGATGAGAAAAATCAGTTGGAGCCATAAAGGAGCATTGAACCATACACTCTGGGTATTCCCAAGCCTTAAAACACCACTAGATCACAATGTTATAAGTAATGTAACCTGAGATTTAAATGAATTCACAAGGAGTGTTGAGGCATTGAGCAGATACAAAATCTGGGTATCATTCAGGGAGCCGGTCGGCCGAGCGGACAGCACGCTGGGCTTGTGATCCTGTGGTCCTGGGTTCGATCCCAGGCGCCGGCGAGAAACATTGGACAGAGTTTCTTTCACCCTATGCCCCTGTTACCTAGCAGTAAAATAGGTACCTGGGTGTTAGTCAGCTGTCACGGGCTGCTTCCTGGGGGTGGAGGCCTGGTCGAGGACCGGGCCGCGGGGACACTAAAAAGCCCCGAAACCATCTCAAGATAACCTCAAGAATTAGATCATTAGTGCAGGTTCGAATCCTTTTGATGGCTCCAACTGATTGTTTCATTAATACTCTACGTTAATGTGATTTCTTTGTGCATTTAAAGTGAGAGTTGTAGGGATGAACTCGTATACCACACAAGAGTGTTTACTGGTAATGTGTAAAACCTTGATTTGGTGTCCACTCGACGGCACAAGACGCCTTGTAGATTAAATTTATTCCCAGGTTACATTACTTATAGCATATGGTAGTCCAGTGGTTTAAGACTCCAAGACGTTAGAGGAAGGATAAAGTAACGTCTCAAGGATTCCTAATACCAGAGGACATGCCTAAGGGGTAGAGATACAGTGCTTAAGGTTTCGTGAGATATTCTCCCAACGTGTCGAATGTGACTGTTCGAACAGTTAATGCCCGAAACGCTTTGCGTAATAGTGGCTTTAGGCATTGTATGTACTAGCCCTATCTATAAATCCATCACTCTTTGTAAAATCTCTTGTATGTATGTACCTTACCTAAATAAACATTTGATTTGATTTGATTTGAGTTATCAAACACAAATAATACCAGATCTGAGGTCAAAGGGTAAAGGCTACATATATATTTTAAGCAACATAAAATACTATGATTATTGCTAACTACAAATCCAAAGTTAGTTCGAGAACAGGAATATTAACAAACATATTAACAATATTAATATATTAATATTAACAATTTCCTTTCATAAATCTTTTAAATTCTTGGTTAAGAATGTTTAGCATAGGTTTTTGGCAAAGAATTTAATTCTCTCCATTTTTTTTTTTACCACTGATGATGGAGTATCTTCTCCGAAACATTTCTTTTGAAAAATAAATTGAAGAAGATTTATGTCTTACGTCTGATGGTACTGTTCTCGTTCCTATATGAATTACATATTATATTAAATTACATATTTATATGTACAAACTGTCAAGGTATCTGTGTCTGAAGAGCTGCCAGTGTGTCTACAGTACTTGTCATACTGATGAATAAACACATTCGTTAAACATTTTTGCCTGTAAATATTTCTTTCTTCCCAAAAAAATAACTTTCCTGGAAGTCCTCAAAATATGTTGAATGTAAACACTGTCAACATTTCTTGCAAATAATCAAATAATCAAGTATTATGACATAACATATTACCTCTTAAAAAGGATAGATGTCACCTAAGAGAACATATGTTATCTCTTAAGAGGACAGAAGTTATTTTTTAAAGGAACAGCCATTACCTCTTGAAGGAACCAAACAGTACTCAAGGAACACACACACACACACACACACACACACACACACACACACACACACTATCCCCTTATAAACACCGAGAGTACACCTCAGGTCTGCTATTTAGCATACAACGATAGGATTTACTTTCTTGTCCCTATCTGTTTCACTCACTGTTGTATATTTAACCCTTGATCTGAACTTAACAACCAAAATATTGGTTCTTAAATGTGGCGAAGAAGTAAGCGTGAAGAGGGTGACTTCTATTGGAGGATCCCTAAAGCGGGAGACTTCTATTGGAGTATCCCTAAAGAGGGACACTTCTATTGGAGGATCCCTAAAGAGGGAGACTTCTATTGGAGTATCCCTAAAGAGGGACACTTCTATTGGAGGATCCCTAAAGAGGGAGACTTCTATTGGAGCATCCCTAAAGAGGGAGACTTCTATTGGAGTATCCCTAAAGAGGGACACTTCTATTGGAGGATCCCTAAAGAGGGAGACTTCTATTGGAGGATCCCTAAAGAGGGAAACTTCTATTGGAGGATCCCTGAAGAGGGAGACTTCTATTGGAGGATCCCTGAAGAGGGAAACTTCTATTGGAGGATCCCTGAAGAGGGAAACTTTTATTGGAGGATCCCTGAAGAGGGAAACTTCTATTGGAGGATCCCTGAAGAGGGAAACTTCTATTGGAGGATCCTTAAAGAGGGAAATTTCTATCGGAAGAACCCTGAAGAGGGTTCTTCTTCAATTTTTTTTTTCATTAAATAATATCAATGTCATTCAGAAGGAGATGGATCCAGTCACCAAGCGCAGCACCAGCAGCAGCAGCAGCAGCTCCAGCAGCAGCAGCAGCAGCAGCTCCAGCAGCAGCAGCAGCTCCAGCAACAGCATATGCAGCAGCAGCCGCAACAGCACCTACAACAGCCGCAACAGCAGCAGCATAATTTTCAGCAGTCCCAACAACATCTTCACCAGCAACACCCTCTTCAGCAGCAGGAAAATCTCCAACAACAAAATTTACAACAACAAAATCTCCAACAACAAAATCTCCAACAACAAAATCTCCAACAACAAACCCTCCAACAGCAAACCTTGCAACAACAACAGCAAAGTTTACAGCAACAACAGCAAAGCCTCCAACAAAACATTCAGCAACAAAGCCTCCAACAGCAGCAAAATTTCCAACAACAACAGCACAACATCCAACAACAAAATCTTCAACAGCAGCAGAACCTGCAACAGCAACAACTACACCAGCAGCAGCAACAAGCCCAGCAGCAGCTGCAACAGCAGATGGGTCAGCAGCAAAAGATGGGAATCCTCTCAGGTCTAAAAGGGGACCAATTCACCTCAGCCTACACGGGTATATCTCCACCTTCCCAGCCTCTCTCCCGCGAAGACTTGTACGGGCAGCAGCACCAGGGTCTTCCCGATGGGGTGCTCCAAGGACCCGGCATCCTGCTTCACAGGTCAGTTGAGGGATAAGACAGTCCCAGGGGTCTGTTCCAAGAGCCCAGGGTCTCTCCCAAGGTCCCAGGGTCTCTCCCAAGGTCCCAGGGTCTCTCCCAAGGTCCCAGGGTCTCTCCTAAGGTCTCAGGGTCTCTCCCAAGGTCCCAGGGTCTCTCCCAAGGTCCCAGGGTCTCTCCCAAGGTCCCAGGGTCTCTCCTAAGGTCCCAGGGTCTCTCCCAAGGTCCCAGGGTCTCTCCCAAGGTCCCAGGGTCTCTCCCAAGGTCCCAGGGTCTCTCCCAAGGTCCCAGGGTCTCTCCCAAGATCCCAGGGTCTCTCCCAAGGTCACAGTAGCTGTTCCAACATCCCAGGGCCTGTTCCAAGGTCCCAGAATCTATTCCTAGGTCCCAGAAGCTGTTCCAACATCCCAGGGCCTGTTCCAAGGTCCCAGGATCTGTTCCAAGGTCCCAGACTCTGTCCCAAGGTTCCGGGGTCTGTTCCAAGGTCCCAGGATCTGTTATAAGGTCCTAGACTCTGTTCCAACATCCCAGGGCCTCTTCCAAAGTCCCAGGATCTGCTACAAGGTCTCAGGAGTCTGTTCAAGGTCCCAGGGTCTGTCCCAGGATCTGTTCCAAGGTTCCAGGGGCTGTTCCAAGGTCCCAGGATCTGTTCAAAGGTCCCAGAGTCTGTTCCAAGGTCCCGGGACCTGTTCCAGGGTCCGAGGATCTGTTCCAAGGTCCCAGGATCTACTCCAAGATCCCAGGACCTGCTCCGTGGTTCCAGAGCCTGCTCCAAGGTCCCAGGACCTGCTCCAAGATCCCAGGACCTGCTTCCAAGTCCCAGGATCTGCTTCAAGATCCCAGGACCTGCTCCAAGGTCCCAGGACCTGCTCCAAGCTCCCAGGACCAGCTCCAAGATCCCAGGACCGGCTCCAAGGTCCTAGGACCTGCTCCAAGGTCCCAGGACCTGCTCCAAGATCCCAGGACCTGCTCCAAGGTCCTAGGACCTGCTCCAAGGTCCCAGGACCTGCTCCAAGGTCCTATCGTCATGTTACAAAGGTCAGTTAAGCAATGAAAGATTAAGTTAGGTCTGCAAGTCATCACCTGCAGATAAGGACCAACATTAACAGGTTAGAGGATCAACTTCACTCTCTTTATCATCTCTTAAAACGACGAAATAACTGTCTCACTTTGGTGACTTTAGACGGAATAAATCACCGTCAATATATTACTGTTATTGCTCCTATTTGTTGAATTTACTCATTGTTATCACATTCGTTTATAACTTTTGTAGCGATTTAGCTCATTTATTGCCAAGTGCTTGAAAGTTTAGGTTAATGCAACTGTTGTGGTTGGTGTTGTGTTGCAGGCCAGCGCCGCTGTCGCCGACGGAGCTCCGGGGCGGAGTCATGGTGACTACCTCTGGCATTGTCAAGTCTCTGGACCGACCTCGTCAGGCTTCGGTAAGTCTTTCCGTCAAGGCTTAAGTCTGCGTCTCTTCTCGAAAGCTTTTCTCCCTTCCCCCCCCCCCCCGAGCGTCTCTTATTCAAGCCTTCTCCCGTCTCTTCTTCTTCTTCTTTAAGGCTTTCTCTGTCGACCTCTGTGGGGCTACGTCTCACTGAAACCCGCCAGTTATGTTGGCATCGTCATTTCACATGTGTGTTTTTTTGTTTATCTCGTTGCATAATTTTATTGACGCCTTCCACACCTGCAACTCTCCTAGACTGATGCGTTCCACACCTGCCATTCTCCTACACTGATGCCTTCCACACCTGCAACTCTCCTACACTGATGCCTTCCGCGTTTGAAAGTCACATATAATCTACTCATTCACGATTTGTTTACCAGTTTTCCTCCAAGTTTTTCTGTACACAATAGCTCCTGTAAACAAAAGATACATACTTGAATTTTCAGAGCCTAATTGGGCCAGTTCTGGGATGTATATTTAAGACATAAGGTTTCTACCCAGCATATTGATCCTGCCGTAGCTGGTAAGTATATTCAGTGTATATACATTCATGAATATACGACGGTAGGAGAGTCTTTTTCGCTGTAGAGGTTCATGTATTGTAATGGGACTATCTTTGGACACAAGTCGAAATAAATAATTTGATGCGTTGATGCTCTATGAAATAATGTCAATAAAATTTTAATGGCTGATTAGAAACGAGATTGTACTTCATTATTACGATAAAAGAGACCAGCATACCAAAATTTTGCTTTTAAAAATGTCTATTCACTTATAGGATTGTTTTATATTATATATAATGACGGTGTCAGACCACGAAGGAAGGATTAAGACAGAAATTTCCTTAAGTACCTTCGTATTCAATAATATATCTTCAGAAGTGTGTATTATTATTAAATACGAAAGTACTTAACAAAATTTCTGTTTTAATCCGCTCCTCATGGTCGGACACTGTCACATTGTTCATCACATGTTAATTTCTTTGTGATTTACACACACACACACACGTATATATATATATATATATATATATATATATATATATATATATATATATATATATATATATATATATATATATATATATATATATATATATATATATATATATATGATATATATATATATATATATATATATATATATATATATATATATGAAAACTACAAGAAGTGTCGAGGGTATCCAGGACAATATGCAACTGAAAATATCACACCCCAGCAACCCATGGTATATCTTGGCGTCTTGTACATACCATTGCGTTGCTCCTGGGAGTATGGGTTCGAGTCACTTCTGGGGTATATTTCAGTTATATATATATATGTCGTACCTAGTAGCCAGAACGCACTTCTCAGCCTACTATGCAAGGCCCGATTTGCCTAATAAGCCAAGTTTTCATGAATTAATTGTTTTTCGACTACCTAACCTACCTAACCTAACCTAACCTAACTTTTTCGGCTACCTAACTTAACCTAACCTATAAAGATAGGTTAGGTTAGGTTAGGTAGGGTTGGTTAGGTTCGGTCATATATCTACGTTAATTTTAACTCCAATAAAAAAAAAATTGACCTCATACATAATGAATTGGGTAGCTTTATCATTTCATAAGAAAAAAATTCAAGAAAATATATTAATTCAGGAAAACTTGGCTTATTAGGCAAATCGGGCCTTGCATAGTAGGCTGAGAAGTGCGTTCTGGCTACTAGGTACGACATATATATATATATATATATATATATATATATATATATATATATATATATATATATATATATATATATATATATATATATATATATATATATATATATATATATATATATATATATATATATATATATATATATATATATATATATATATATATATATATATATATATATATATATATATATATATATATATATATATATATATATATATATATATATATATATATATATATATATATATATATATATATTTGCGAAGAAGCTTGAATGGTCCCCACGCCAATATGCAACAGAAAATTCCTCTCTCCAGAAGGACTGCATGTGAGGTGATTTGATGAAATATCTGTGCCCAAAAAGGTTACTGAGTGCTGTTGGGATTTGGGTTATAGGTCATCTGACTTCCAATCCTTTAAACAGTCGTTATGGCCTAGTGGTGAAAGTACTGGACACGTGACGAATGTGACGAGTTGCGACATAATATAATATCATATATTATGTAGTATAATATCGGTAATATAATAACCCAACCCCTAATGTATAAGATGAAAATGACGACGTTTCGGTTCTTTCTACTTACGAAACCTGTACGTCTTTCCCCTGATGATAGCGGCTTAGTCTGTATTTATCGAAGAGTTTAAGAGCCTCGACACTTAACAACCCCTAGGGCGATTATTTTTATAGATAACCTCGCAGTGCTTCGGAGCTCCTAAACTCTTTAATAAATGTAAAGTAATCCACAATAATCGAGGAAAGATGTATAGGTTTCGTAAGTGGTCACTTAATGAATCATGGGCCTGGACCCCCCCCCCCTTATTAAGTTGCAGGGATGAGCTAAAATGCCACATGTGTAGGGTTATAGATGATCAACCACGTTACTGTGCCATACTCTTTGCTCACTAATTAATATTAAACTTATAATAATTCTCTGTAAATAGCATTTCAAGATAGGGATCAAAAGAGTTTCCATTTCAAGATAGTGATCATGACAAACTATAGTGCTAATATTTTTTTTTACAAATCATTGCTATTTTCTTCTTTACACAGCACTATGTATCACCAGCTTAGCGAGGTATCAAAAGTTGCTTCACTATGGGCTCCTAATTAAATTATATTCCACATTTAAATAACCAGCATTGCTCCCTTGCCATATTACACGAATCCTTGTTCACAAGTGCTAAGATTCATCAAACACTAAATTGTAAATTTATTGAACAATTTCTGAACTCTGAACTATTTGACAATTTCTGAGCATTACGAGATTGAATATAAGAATAATGGGGCCTCGTAGCCTGGTGGATAGCGCGCAGGACTCGTAATTCTGTGGCGCGGGTTCGATTCCCGCACGAGGCAGAAACAAATGGGCAAAGTTTCTTTCACCCTGAATGCCCCTGTTACCTAGCAGTAAATAGGTACCTGGGAGTTAGTCAGCTGTCACGGGCTGCTTCCTGGGGGTGGAGGCCTGGTCGAGGACCGGGCCGCGGGGACACTAAAAAGCCCCGAAATCATCTCAAGATAACCTCAAGAAGAATGATCACCTTACTTTGAGATATTTCGAAGCTCGAAAAATGACAATTAAGTGTTAATGATACATAACTGTAAAATGACCCATAACACTGCTATTTCCCCCCTAACTCTATGACACATAACACTGCTAATGACACATAACACTGCCTATGACATAAGACTGCTGATGACACATAGCTGCAAGTTTATGTCACCTATGTTAGTCATTCCTAAAGTCTTTCACTTTCTCTATTTTCTGACCCATTTAATGCTCTGAAGACTCTTCTGTAATGAGTGTTCAATATGAAGGTTTCCTCTCGTTATATGTATTAAATATGTAGGAGTTTCTCTCTTTTTGTGTGTTAAATATGTAGGGTTTCTCTCTTTTTGTGTGTTAAATATGTAGGGTTCTCTCTTTTTGTGTGTTAAATATGTAGGGTTTCTCTCTTTTTGTGTGTTAAATATGTAGGGTTTATCTCTCTTTTTGTGTGTTAAATATGTAGGGTTTCTCTCTTTTTGTGTGTTAAATATGTAGGGTTTCTCTCTTTTTGTGTGTTAAATATGTAGGGGGTTTCTCTTTTTGTGTGTTAAATATGTAGGGTTCTCTCTTTTTGTGTGTTAAATATGTAGGGTTTCTCTCTTTTTGTGTGTTAAATATGTAGGGTTTCTCTCTTTTTGTGTGTTAAATATGTAGGGGGTTTCTCTCTTTTTGTGTGTTAAATATGTAGGGTTTCTCTCTTTTTGTGTGTTAAATATGTAGGGGGTTTCTCTCTTTTTGTGTGTGTTCAATATCATGGTTTTTCACTATGGGTGTTCTTTTGAAAGGTTTTCTGTTGTGTTCAAAATGAAGGATTTGTTTTGCTATGTGTGCTTAAAATGATTTTTTTATTTGTATTTTCCTTATGTGTGTTCAACATGGAGTTATTTTTTTCATTGTGTTCAATATGAAGGTTATATTTTGTTGTGTGTGTTCAATATGAGGGTTATGTTTCGTTGGGTGTGTTCAATATGAGGGATTTCGTATTTTATGTGTGTTCAATATGAAGGTTTCTTCTGTTATATGTCTTCAATACGAAGGTTATTTTCTTGTTATGTCTTCAATACGAAGTTTTTTCCTTTATATTTGTTCAATATAAAGACATTATTTTGTGTGCACGGAAAAGTTAGTTATCCCGGTAAGGCTTTTCTATGTTCACAGGTTTTCACTTATCCTGGTGTAGAGTGAGTAAACATGACAATGGGGTGTTCAGTACTGTTAAATTGTACAATGTTACTAAATATTATGTCATTAGGATCCAGGAGTGTCAGAAGAAGGTAAACAGTATACATGTATGATAACTGTTCACGATAACCACGAACCAAGGGGGTCTCCATCCTCTGCATGCCCTGTTATGAGTATCATCAGGATACGCAACTAGAAGCGCATTTGCGTAACTTTTAATAAATGTTTTTTTTTTTTTAGTATTTCCTAATTCCTAAATGTCAGTAATTACCAGCCGAAACACGAGGACCATCACAGCTGACACAGAACGTTTCTGTGCCATTTTGATGTTAAAACGTTATTAAAACGTCTATAAAACCGTTTTAACATCAAAACAGCACAAAATGTTCTTAAAACGTTAAAACATTTTAAGAACGTTTTAACGTCTAACGTTTTAATGTCCTAAAAACGTTTGAAAACGTTGTAGGTACGTTGTGTGTTTGCTGGGATGTGAGTGATTTAATTACCTGTCAAGCCAGCCAGACCTCGTGTAGATAACACAAATGCCACCTGATCAATGCTATAATGCTGGAGTCTCCATGAACCATGCTATAATGTGGAGTCTCTCATATATATATATATATATATATATATATATATATATATATATATATATATATATATATATATATATATATATATATATATATTTTTTTTTTTTTTTAAAAGTACACACACACATGCACATGTTACTTACACATGTATCTTGGCTGACTTGATAACCACTGTTGACTCTGTTATCTGCCTGTACGTTTATCGTGTTGTGCCATTTGTCTAGCTTTCTATAGTAATAACCTCGTAGGTCGACAGATCTAACTCTAATGTTGCCATATATATGTATCCATGTCTTGCCACTCAAAATGAATGTCATTTTTTAGGTACGTCTCTCTCTGAGCAGAGATAAGTGTAAATCCAGTTTTTACTATTAATAATACGTTTGCATCTGTAGATTTTTTTCTTATAAAGGAGGTGTGTGTAGCAGCTTCTCAAGAGTCCAATGTTTCTGGACTTGTCTTCCCAACCAACATATGACGTAATGACAACGGATATTTTTTGGTTAAGATTTAACAACGAATACTGACGTTGCTGGACCGTTGTGGTTAGGTTGTATGTCGGCTGAGTGGGAGCAGTAGTAAGCAGTTCATGAGACTCTCTTGTCTGTTCGTTGTTTCAGCTGTTTGGTATCAAGAAAAATAAGTCGCTTAGGCCTGACTTAGGAGAAACTTGGCCTTCCATTGTAGATCTGTCGCCAATATTGGATGTGTCTCCCTCAGTGGAGGCGGCAGAGCAGGAGGCCAATGGCAGACAGGTAAGCTACTGATGCTGCCCTGCCCACGCCCTGCCCCGAACCTCGCACACACCTGACTATGCCCACGCTGTCCAACACCGTGGGGACCTTACACTGCCCATGGGATGGTGGGCATTCACGCTGGCCGTGGGTCAGTGGGCACCCTGTCACATCCACGCTCTCTCTGATACTATTGATACACACACGTAGTCCCTGGTACAGTGGGCACCTTACCATATTCACTCTGCCCTAGGGACAGTGGGCATCCTATCACACCCTCACGCTACCTTAAGGGTAGCAGGCACTCTACCACAGACACCCACGCTACGCCTAGGGACAGTTGACACCCTATCATATATTGATCAGACCACACACTAGAAAGTGAAGGGACTACGATGTTTCGGTCCGTCCTGGACCATTCTCAAGTCGGTTGTTCTCAAGTCACAACTGACTTGAAAATGGTCCAGGACGGACCTAAACGTCGTCGTCCCTTCACTTTCTAATGTGTGGTCTGGTCAATATACTTTAGCCACGTTATTGTGACTCATCGCCTGCACCCTATCATACCAGAGTGGGCACCAGGCTGTACCTACGGACATTACAATCACGCTATGGTACAATGGAACAGCCAAGGAAAGGCTACAGTACCATTTCAGTAAGCAATGGCCTCCTGTCACCGTCATCATACTATGTCCGACACATGTACCGTAAATGAGTCTCTTCTCAGAGAGGGTACAGGAATGCAGACGACACCCATAGTGTTTTGGGTACATTTAATGCAAAATTAAGAGTACTGTACCGTGTACAATAGTTCATGAAACCATATAAACACTCTACCATGTACCCTAGTTTATCCAACCACATAAACACTATCAATGTACCATAGCATCAACCTACACATAATATCCAGGGCTGGGGATTATACTGCTACATATCTCCAGGGCTGGGGGCTACACTAATCTTATATCCAGGGCTGGGGGCTACACTAATCTTATATCCAGGGCTGGGGGCTACACTGGGCTGGGGGCTACACTAATCTTATATCCAGGGCTGGGGGCTACACTAATCTTATATCCAGGGCTGGGGGCTACACTAATCTTATATCCAGGGCTGGGGGCTACACTGCCACATGTACGCTTCAGGACTGAAGATAACACTGGGGCTACTGTGGGCTACTCTACTCATCTATCACTGTTCGTTAGTGTGTTACAGTGATATTGGGGGGTACGATACTACTGTACTACTACTGAATATCACTACTGTACTGTGAGATACTCCACTGCATTCTCACTGTACCTTATGCTGTAGGACACACCACTATACTATCTCTGTACCTTATACCACGGGATTTACTACCGTCACCGTACCTTATACTGTGTGACACTCAGTACTGTTAGTTTAAAGAGCTGGGAGCGATTGTCTGTTCTCTTGAACAGTCATGAAGCCATGTGGCTTTCACCTGGCACTGTGGCCAGCACTACACATCACACCTGGCACTGTGATCAACCCTCAGACCACACCTGGCACTGTGATCAACCCTCAGACCACACCTGGCACTGTGATCAACCATCAGACCACACCTGGCACTGTGATCAACCATCAGACCACACCTGGCACTGTGATCAACCCTCAGACCACACCTGGCACTGTGATCAACCCTCAGACCACACCTGGCACTGTGATCAACCATCAGACCACACCTGGCACTGTGATCAACCATCAGACCACACCTGGCACTGTGATCAACCCTCAGACCACAACTGGCACTGTGGTCAACCCTCAGACCACACCTGGCTCTGTGATCAACCCTCAGACCACACCTGGCACTGTGATCAACCCTCAGACCACACCTGGCACTGTGGTCAGCCCTCAGACCACACCTGGCACTGTGATCAACCATCAGACCACACCTGGCACTGTGATCAACCATCAGACCACACCTGGCACTATGATCAACCATCAGACCACACCTGGCACTGTGATCAACCCTCAGACCACACCTGGCACTGTGATCAACCATCAGACCACACCTGGCACTATGATCAACTCTCAAACCAACATTGATCACCATGATACTATACTGCCACTTTTGGCAACGCTGCCACAGCTACCTACAACAGTTGGTAACACTTCTACAGCTTACTACAGCTGTTGGCAGCATTGCTACTCGAGAAAGCTACAAATTACATGGGTAGGCGTATAGGAGTATAGTAAAAATACTCCTTATTTACAAAACTAGAACTCGATTGAAGATTGAGAGGCGAGGCCCAAGAGCCGTAGTTAATCCCAAACAAATACGAGTAGGCGAGTACAATTAGGAGACTATAAAACATGTGTTTCAGGAAACAAGCAATAAAAACAAACCAAACAAACGATGTTTTCATCCCTCGTCAAACTACCAACGCAGATAAACACACACACACACACAAACCATCCCAGGAAATAACGTAACCGCAACGTTTAAAAACGTTATTACGTCACAAACAACATTGTAGTAATGGTAAATCAGTGAAACTAACGTTGTGATGCATCGTGTGTCGGCTGGGGGATCGACATCCCTTTATTAAATACAGCTGTAGTGTACTGGATAACATTATTCGTCTTGTATTCCTAACATTCCCTCTGCAGTGTTCGGTACTGTATAAAACACCCTAACATCGCCTATACAGTGTTTAATACTGTTTAAAACACCCTAATATATCGATTATACAGTATATAGTACAAATTTATTTGTCGTACATGGCGTTTTTTTGCTACAATGAGCGCTTCGGCAAAGTCACAGACAATTTACAACAGGTACACCACACCACCATTGTTCCAACAGATATACCACACCACCATTGTTCCAACAGGTACACCACACCACCATTGTTCCAACAGGTACACCACACCACCATTGTTCCAACAGATATACCACACCACCATTGTTCCAACAGGTACACCACACCACCATTGTTCCAACAGGTATACCACACCACCATTGTTCCAACAGATATACCACACCACCATTGTTCCAACAGGTACACCACACCACCATTGTTCCAACAGGTATACCACACCACCATTATTTCAACAGGTATACCACACCACCATTGTTCCAACAGGTACACCACACCACCATTGTTCCAACAGGTATACCACACCACCATTGTTCCAACAGATATACCACACCACCATTGTTCCAACAGGTACACCACACCACCATTGTTCCAACAGGTACACCACCCCACCATTGTTCCAACAGGTACACCACACCACCATTGTTCCAACAGATATACCACACCACCATTGTTCCAACAGGTACACCACACCACCATTGTTCCAACAGGTATACCACACCACCATTGTTCCAACAGATATACCACACCACCATTGTTCCAACAGGTACACCACACCACCATTGTTCCAACAGGTATACCACACCACCATTATTTCAACAGGTATACCACACCACCATTGTTCCAACAGGTACACCACACCACCATTGTTCCAACAGGTATACCACACCACCATTATTCCAACAGGTACACCACACCACCATTGTTCCAACAGGCACACCACACTACCATTGTTCCAACAGGTACACCACACCACCATTGTTCCAACAGGTATACCACACCACCATTGTTCCAACAGGTATACCACACCACCATTGTTTCAACAGGTACACCACACCACCATTGTTCCAACAGGTATACCACACCACCATTGTTCCAACAGGTACACCACACCACCATTGTTCCAACAGGTACACCACACCACCATTGTTCCAACAGGTATACCACACCACCATTGTTCCAACAGATATACCACACCACCATTGTTCCAACAGGTACACCACACCACCATTGTTCCAACAGGTACCGTACACAACCAGAATATATTAGTAGTAGCAGTGGTGGGCATCCATTGGTTACTCTGGGGCATGAATAACAGGCCATCAGGGCACCAGAGACTCAAGGCACCAAAGTACCAGGCACCAGGGTACAAGGGCACCATGGTACCAGGGTACAAAGCTACAAGGACACCAGGATACAAGGGCACCAGGGTACAAGGGCACCAGCATACCAGGATACAAAGGTACAAGGACACCAGGGTACAAAGGTACAAGGGCACCAGGATACAAGGGCACCAGGGTACAAGGGCACCAGGATACCAGGATACAAAGGTACAAGGGCACCAGTATACAAGGGGTTCCTTGATGCCCTGGAATATACAGAACTGATAATACAACCTGCAGGGTTATGCTATCCTTCAAACATCTCTAGGCCTATTGAGGTTCTTTTTTTTTCTCTCTCTCTCTTTTACAGACGGTCTCGCTTCATGCAGGTCGGCGTTCAATCCCCGACCGTCCACAAGTGGTTGGGCACCATTCCTTTCCCCCCGTCCCATCCCAAATCCTTATCCTGATCCCTTCCAAGTGCTATATAATGGCGCTTTCCCCCGATAATTCCCCTCCTCCACAGGTGTATAAATGAGAAGACAACACCTGTCTCCTGCTAGAAAGTCTTATAAGCGTTTTCCTCCTTTGCCTTTCCCAAATCGTGTCCCCCCTCTCCCTGGAACACGACCCGTCAATCGGTTTACAACGAGGTCCCCAATTACCGCTGGGTGAATAGTTAAGATTTGGTGCCTAGTCGATCCTCCCTGCCAAGGGGCTCGAAGCCAACCAAAATCGCGGGCTTTTGGGAGGGCGAAAGTGTCCCCTAAACGCCACAGACACTTTCGTTTGTGTTGTAAGCTGTCATCATCCTAGCTGTCATCATCCTAGCTACTTTCATCCTAGCAGCAAGCTGTCATTCTCCTAGCTCGCTCCTAGCGACTTTCATCCTAGCAGCAAGCTATCATCCTGCTAGCTTGGTACTAAAACTCAAATTATCCTATGGGGTGCTTGAATTAGTATACGTACATTAAGTAAATCGTATATCGAACATTACTACAGCGGTCAAGTATTATATCAGTAATGTGTATGATCTGACAACACCTATAGACTTCAATATATGAATCATCTCATGATTGCAAGGTATAAAAACACCTGTAAACATATATATATATATATATATATATATATATATATATATATATATATATATATATATATATATATATATATATATATATATATCACGTATTACAGTTTCTTCAGCATCTACTTCTTTTCTTTCAAACAATCATCTACGTGCTTGATCACAATCCTGAAAGAATTTGATCCTTTCGCAAACCCTTTCGAGTCCTTTTGAGTGTTTTTCAACCCTTTGATTTTTGTTTTGATTTAATTCTATTGAGCCCTCTTCAGCCCCCTTTCGAGTCCTTCTGAATACTTTTCAGCCCACTTGTGTTGTTTAGTAGAATCTGCCGCCCCTTCAAGGTATTGATCACCGGTTGTGTTGACTTTATATTGCACACAAACTATTTCCTAGTGAATGTATAGTTCTGTCATAGTTGCTTCGTAACTGTAATACTTGAATGACAGACAATAATTACAAAATTCTATTCCATAATAAAAAAATTATTGCAGAATGTGTGGTTTTGGTCTTCCTAGAATGACTAATTCACCTCTGCAACATTGATACAAATTTTGTTTGCTGTAATTAATCCTATTTGCAATATGTTCGGGCATACCTACCTTGAGGTGCTTCCGGGGCTTAGTGTCCCCGCGGCCCGGTCGTCGACCAGGCCTCCTATCAGGCATGCACTTATCATATTCATATATATCACATGCGATTTAAAAACACATATTTAAATACTTGTAAAATATGAAAAAAAATTTACCTGTTTAAATGGACAACGTCTTAACCATGGGCAACACCTTAATTACTTCTATAGATCGCTATAACACACGCTATGAACAACAAATGTAGTTCCCTAACCAGCCAATACAGTAGTTACCAAGATGATTATACCAGGAAGACACATCCAGGACCTTCTAAGATATTGGCTACACACAGTAAAGACGAATTGTACCCCCACCCTCTCAATTATTTTAAGTTCAAGGATGAAAAGGATTATGGAATTACTAACAATATTTGTGTTGAAACTAACCATTCTAACCCCCCTCATTGCATCTAGCTAAGGCCAAAGCATACTGTAGGCTAGGAATGATAATGATATAGTGAGAAAATACTTTGCAGTAATGCAGTGGAATTGAACTCGCGTCTCTGGTCACCAGACGCAAGTTCAATCCCACCACACTGCTCCAAAATATTATCATTAGATATATCGCGCTATCGTAATTCCATTGTGTAATGATATAGTGTTTTTGTATGGTAATATATATATCAGTTTTCACCCCCTTACTCCCTCCGGGTCTGTGTCTACTGAGCCACAAGTAGAACTAACGCCTCTGCAT